TAACCCTAACCCTAACCCTAGCCCTAACCCTAACCCTAACCATAAACATACCTCATATAAAAATATAAACGTAATACTAAACAACCTAAAACTACCTCGGCCGATAGACATGTGTTAGAGGCTTTAACGTGTGTTTGAGCCCACCGAAACGGGTTCAACGCTCAGCAGTCAATGGACGGGTGGGGGGGGGTGATTATTCAGATTTATGCGTATTTTGATTCGTTTATTCCCGCCTCGGTTAGCAATTTCCGTGCGAACGTTTGAATTTACTATTCTCTGTTTCGGAAATTCATCAAAATTTTAGTGGGCTTGACTAATTTTCTTATTATAGTGATCACAGTGTACAGAGGTTGCGTGATGCTATAATCGTCTACTTTTTACGAAAGCATGAAAATGCATGCATGCGTGTAATGTATGCCTGCATGTAATGCGATTTTTCGGTTGTTGACGCAATATCGCACGTGTCGTCTGCTCGTAAGGAAAGACTATAGCACAGCAGACATAGCTGTTCCTTGCTCGCCTGTTGCCGCCCCCCCCCCAAAAAAAACCTCACCTGTGTTGTTACTAATGATGGGAGGAGTCGGATCCGGTCCGTCAAGCTTCTTAAATGAACTAGCTGCAAAAAATCAAACGCACCGTATAAGAATTCCATACGCGACAGAAAGTAAGCATTTCCGGTTCCGTTTCCGGTCGGCGCGCCAGCCGCCTGTTTGCATTGCGAGGTGTGGCGGTAGACGGCATGCATGCGGCGTTACTGCCGAAGCTTTTATATACAGTATGTGATTAATATTCACAATTTTAATATGAATACCTAACCTAATCCTATATCTCAAATACAATTATATACTATAAGGAAAACTGTGCCACCACAGTATTTGTTGCGCGTGAGCAAAAATAAATACGAATAATACACACAGCAATAAAGCTGAAAAAACTTTTGAAACAGCAATAATGTTTTCCGGTACTTTCGCTCATACGCAGCACGTGTACTAAGCGCCTATACGCACACGCAAACGCACACGCACACGCACACGCACACGCACACGCACACGCACACGCACACACACAGACGCGCGCGCGCGCGCAGACACACACACACACACACACACACACACACACACATACATACACACACACACACGCACGCGGCCAGCGCACCAACGGCACGGCCCCCAGCGCACACACCACAGCACAACACACACACAACACACAGTCACACACCCCAACGGGCCGTCCGTGTATGCGTATACACGCATCCGTGATCACACGTTCCCGCCGCGGCATCGCCAGACAGACGGCTTTGTAAATCTGTGTTTTAACGTGTGCACTGGAGCCCGTCGTATTTCGCGCGCGAACGCGGTGATTAGGTTTAACTCTTTCCGTACGGCTCAGGTATAATTATATTAGTTACGCGCGTGCGAGTACTATCTGTTCACTTACACTCTCTATTAAGTTGCTGGAATAGTGGAAAGAAGTCTGCGGATTTTATTTTAGATCTGGTTTCTAAGTGATCTCCTTTCTTCACATTTCAATCAAGCTTTGTCCCTGAGGAGTCGGCTCTGGAGAGGTCGGACCAACAGACTCTACTAGTCTTCTACGGAAATCAGTGAAGATTTTTCCGTTCCAATGGAATGCATATGGCGTAAGCCTTACTAAAAAACTTTAAAATTCAATCGTCTTGGTTGGCAAAAAAACAACACATTTTGCATTCTATAGCAATAATAATGATAAGAGAATTCGAGGATCGCTGTCGTAATAATTAAAGAGTTATCACATTATCACACATCAATAGAAGAGACATAATAAAAATGTCCTAGGTGAATGCAATTGTGTTATGAATAAAGATATACACTAACAGATGTAAAATGGTGCAATGTGGGGGGCGCCAGCCCTTAATTTTTCATACACAATATAAATAAATAAATAAATATATAATATATATATATATATAATATATATATTATATATACTGTGAGAATATATTTGATTTATCGCTATGACCATAGAATTGTACGATATATACAACAAACGCATTGGGATGTCTAGCAGTGATCTGTCAGAGGTCACGATAAAGGTTATAGCATGTAACAGCAAAGGTCACGGATGAGGTTATAGCATGTAACTAGCAAAGTCACGATGAATGGTTATAGCAATGTTTAAGCAGCAGAGGTACAGATGAAGGTTAATAGGCCATGTTAACAGCAGAGGTCACGATGCATGATGTCTAGCATGTAACACAGAGGTCAACGATGCAGGTTCATAGCATGTAACAGCAGAGGTTACGACACAGGTTATAGGCATGTAACAGCAGAGGTCACGACACAGGTTTATAGCAATGTAAGCAGGGCAAGAGGTCACGATGAAGGTATAGGCATGGTAACAGCAGTAGTCACGATGCAGGTTAATTAGCATGTAAAGAGCAGAGGTTCACGATGAAGGTTGTGGCATGTAACAGCATAGGTCACGATACAGGTTATAGCATGCAGCAGCATAGGTCACGACACAGGTTATAACATGTAACAGGCAGAGGTCACGAATAAAAAGTTATAGCATGTAACATCAGAGGTCAGCGATGCAATGTTATAGCATGCAACAGCCCAGGTCCTACGACATGGTAACGGGCTGAGGTATGAGAATTAACAGCTGAGATCACGACCATGTAAAGGTTGAGGTCAGCGAACATGTACGGTTGAGGTCCATGCTATGTAACATTCTAAGTATCACAACACGGTAACGTCGCTTTCATGCATAGTAATGACAGTCACAACTCAAGACTCTAGAAGACTATGAGGGCCTCAATGTATATTTATTCATGGGCACTGTGCAATCAGATTCTTGGCTTTACACAACTTCCTTTACTTTTATCGCAGATATTCTGTGCCTAGACGAGGCGCAGCATGTAGGCATTCAACAAGGACGAGCTAATTTTCACTAGGACGAAAAGCTAATGCAAAAATAGTTTTTGTTTTCCTTAAAATTCTCAAGCCGCCTATAAAGTCAAGCTTGGCTGTATTCAGGCATGGCACGTGGTGCGCGAGCGTTTTGAAGTTATCTCTCGACTCTACGTCTGCGTAAATTTTTAGACTTTTCCCCCTACTCTATTATTACCGTGCAGGCTAAACGTGAGTCGATACACTGGCGGCCCGCGCTTGCGTTCCGCGACGCTCGCGACGGTCGCCCGCCTAAGATTTTTGGAAAAACCGCAAGGCGCCACCGTGGGCGCCTGCTCCGGCTCGCCGTAGCCAACTCGTACGAAGGGCCTTACTGACGATCACTCAGGGTATTGTACGCGTTTTCCATTACGTCTTGAAGATGTGTTCTGAGGTCTCCTCTATATAAGGCTGAGAAGGGGAGGGGGCATACAATCATTGATCAGATTGGCTGCTGAGATAAGCCGAGATTTGAATTTTGTCAGTACACGCGAGAAAAAACTCGATCGCACGGCGCGCGTCGAATGATAAATGACGATCGAATGGCCGACGAAGAGCAAGAGCGAGCTATTTGCTTATGATCTGCTCGCTTAGTTCGACGGCCGCAATAGTCCCGAAAAGCACACTAGTCCGAATAACCCACTAGTGCCGAAAGCCGCCCACTAGTGCCGAAAATCCCACAGGTGATTGGGTTATCTGAGCTATAGTCCCAATGTTTAATTAATTAATTATTTATTTATTTTTTAATTAATTAATTAATTAATTAATTATTTTTTTAATAAATTAAATTAATTTATTTATTCTTAATTTTAATTTTTAATTTTAATTTTTAATTTTAATTTTAATTTTAATTTTTTAATTTTAATTTTAAATTCCAAATTTTATTATTTTTTAATTGAAATTTTTGTGGTGGGATGTAGGAGAGGTGTGTGTGGAGGGTGAGCTAAGTGTGTGGATGCGCTGCAAATTCTAGACTACGGTAAAACCTCGTTATACCGCTCTCGTAATACCGCCAATCTCACTTATCGCCAGGAAAATGCCCAATGTACAGATCGTTTGGATCTATTGTACGTATTTAGCCTCGTAATACCGCCCCTTGTCAACTGCAACCGCCAGCATTATGGCTATGTACAATCCTATATAAACGCATTGAAAATACACTCATTATATCTGCTTATCCAGCAGAGTATTTAGGCGTTAATCAAGTAGTAGCGTTTGAGATTCTGCCCCATCATCACTTGATGCGGCGGCGTCAATTCAGACTGTATAGACCCTTTTTAAATATTAATTCATGACCTGGATTTGTGGGGCCACAATGTAAAAATCAACTAAAATTTAAAAATTAACCATAAATGTCATAACATGTCAACCACAAATGTAAAATAACACTAATGTCATACATGTCAACCACAAATGTAAAAATTTTCGTTAACCACAATGTAAAGACATCTTTTTACATTGTAAGATAAGTTATTATAATAGCATATTGTATGTGTGTGTTGTGTGTGTCGTGAGCGTTGCTGTTGTGTGTGTGTGTGCGGTGGGTGTGCTGGTGCGGCTTGTGCTGCGTGCCGGTGGGCGCGCCATGGTGCGGGTGTGCTAGCATGCTGGCGCGGCGTGGCGTGTGTATGTGGCGCGTGCGTGTGTATGTGAATGTAAGCTGGCAGCGATAAGTGAGATCAATTGGCGGTATTACGAGGGGCGGTATAACGAGGTATTACCGTAGTCTACAATTTTGCCACACATCACACACCTAGCCCCCACACACACCTCCTACATCCCCTAAAAAATAAAAAATTTAAAAAATTAAAAAAAAAAAAAATTAAATTTAAAAATTAATTAATTAATTAATTAAACATTAGGTATAGATCGGTACCATCCCTGTGGGTTTTCGACTAGTGGGTTTTCGACTATACTAGTGGCTTTCGGACTAGTCGGTTTTCGGACTAGTGGGCTTTCGGACTATTGGGCCGTCGGACTAGCGAGCTATTCTTACATATCATATCAGGAGTAAGATAATATAGGATATAATATAGGATAATAATATAAGATATAGGATATAGGACATAGAATATAATATAGGATAATAATATAAGATAATATAGGATATAATATAAGATAAGACCTATATTATCTTACTCCTGATCATATCATAGTAGCGCTGAACATGCGTCGCTGGCCGCCGCGTCATGGACCGCTGTCCAGAGAATCAGTGCACTGCAGACTCGCTTTCTCTCTCACACACACACAACACACACACACACACACACACACACACACACACACACACACACACACACACACACACACACACACACACACACACAACGCACACACGCACACACGCAGCCACGCACGCACGGCACGCACGCGCACACACACACACACAGTCACACACACACCATCACACACACATCACCCACACACACACACACACACACACACACACACTCCCTCTTGAACGTTCTCTCGCGCTCTCTCTCGCTCTCTCTCTCTCTCTCTCTCTCTCTCTCTCTCTCTCTTTTCTCTTCTCTCTCTCTCTCTCTCTTTCTCTCTCTCTCTCTCTCTCTTTCTCTTTCTCTCTCTCTCTCTCGCTGTCTGTCTCTCGCTGTGCGTGTCTCTCAGTCTCTCTCGCTCTTTCTCTTTCTCTCCCCCCTTCTCTCTCTCCCTCTCTCTCTCTCGCGCGCGCTCTCTTTCCTCATTGCTTACTATCTGCCTTATAACTCTAACTTCTTGCGCTGTCCGCATGAACCCCACTTGCTCACCTCCCTCTTTATCCGCCCTCGTGTCTCAGCTATGCTTGTTCCTCACTACATAGCTGTTGACCCTCCAGCTTCTCGCCACTGCATTGCCCGTGCTTTTTCGTTGTCGTCTGTTTATCCTTTGTGTCCGTCTATTTGTGTGCGCGCATCGGTATCATTAAAGCCACAATATGCGCATCTACACGCTAATTTCTCTGGTACTAGACTAGCAAATACTTCGTGTCATGCATAATCATACTACCTTATGACAAAATAAACTCTAGTTCCTCCCATTTCACTGCGCGTTGTCTTATAAAAGGTATGTACCTTTAAACATACGTACGCGCGCGCGTGCGCGTGCGTTCGTACGTCAGCGTTCGTGCTTACGCACGTGTGTGTGTGTGTGTGTGTGTGTGTGTGTGTGTGTGTGTGTGTGTGTGTGCGCCCGTGTATCCGTGCGTGTGTTCGTATGTGTTCACGCCCGTGTAACGCGCGTACGCACTGACGCACGTTCGTGGAAACGTCTGGGCGACTTTTTGCATCGAGCAGGAAGCGATGCGGCTGCTGTGTTTACGCCGGGCTCTAAATGATGAATTCCGCGTCAACGGCATCTGTTGAACGTACGCCGAGCACGCCTGCTGTTCACGCAGACAGACAGAATGCTGGTAGAAACGTAGGGAAGGAGCCAGCGGGAGAGGTGAGGGACCGTGCAAGGACCAGTGAAGGAGGGAAGGGGTGTAGGCACCAGAAGACGAGGAGGGCGTGTGTAGGGACTGGGGGAGGAAGAGGGGTAGGGGCTAGCAGATAGAGGAGGGAACAGTATTACAGTGTATTGGAGTGTATTACAGTGAGGACCAGGAATGGGTGGGGGGAGAGGTGTAGGGACCGGCAGAGGAGAGAAGGGGTATAGGGACCAGAGAAGGAGAGAAGGGGTGTGGGGATAAGCGCAGGAGGAGGGCGTGTGTAGGGACCGGGAGAGGAAGATGGGTAGGGGCTAGCAATTAAAGGGAACTCTCTCAATCTCCGGCAACTTCAACCGGATATAATCCGCTTACCGGGAATGTTGGACACTATGGCCTCCGGTGCGATGCACACGCCACGGTCGTACTGCGGCAGTTCCAGGAGGTCGCAGTCGAGATTCTCGGGCCACGTTAGTCCGTATCGCGTCAGCAGCGGCTCGCAGCCTGCTCTCGCGCTCTCGCAGACGCCACGACACGGCGGCACCGCCTGGAACTCGAGCGTGCAGATGGGCGCGTAGATGGCGCAGAGGAAGAAGAGGAGGTGCTCGCTGCATTTCGTCTGCACGAGCATGTAGAAGCGATCTATGGCGAGGATGGCGTTCTCCTGTGTGCTGTGATGCAGCAGGTTGGGCATGCGAGTCATGTTGTAGGGCATCGAGCGACACATCGGGATCTTTATCGACTCGCACTGGAGCCCGGCGCGCGTCAGCGTCGCCATGGCGACGACGCATAGCGCCAGCGTCGCGCTGGTTCGCGTCATCGTAGCGCGTCTCTGTTGCCGGGTGATGACTGACTAGATAGAACGCGCGCACTTATTACATCACGTATCTCTCAATCTCTCGTGAGTTTTACGGCGAGGCGATCAGCTCATGCTTGCGTTTCCATCGTCATCGTCGTCGGCGCTGTGCGGGCGCTGAGGGCGCTGCAATGCACCCGGATGTGAGATCTCTCACCAGAGGCTGGTGCTGTCGTTCGTTGCTGCGTACACGTCAGGCTGTGCTGTCATTGCTGATCGCTCCTGCGAACACAGGTTACTGCTAGACGGTATAGCAAAAAGGCAAAACGAGTTAAAGGCTAAAATCTAAAAGT